TCTTTTTTCTACGTATTGGTTTCAGTTGCGCTGTGTTGGACTGGTACAAAGTAGCGACAAGAAACAAGATAGGTATTTAGTAGGAAAATCATTGGTTAACACCGACAAGAATATAACGATCAGAATTGCGAATGTTTTCCGGAATTGTGTCAAGATCCAAAAGGTGACAAGATAGCCATCTGCGAACCTGTAAGAAGCGTCACCCGATGTGATGAAGTGTCGTCAGCTGCTACACAAAAGGCATCCCAAGAAACACCAAAACATCTAGAACAGCCATTGGATCACCTAACACCTGAGGAGAAATAGAAGGCTAAGCAGTTCCTGCTAAAGCATGGCAGTATTTTGAGAAGAACAACAGAGGAAGAACGGATTTTGTGAAGCACCTGATTAATACTGGTCATGCTCAGCCGATTAGACAACGTCCTAGAAGAGTTCCCCTTTCCAAACAACAAGAAATGGAGACAATGGTAGATAAGATGTTAGAAGAGGGAGCAATCGAAGAATCATCAAGTCCATGGTCATCTCCTGTTGTTTTGGGGACGAAGAAAGATGGTAGTACACGATCCTGCGTGGATTATAGGAAGCTCAACGACGTCACTAAGAAAGATAGCTACCCACTACCAACGGCATTAATAATATTTAACAACTCCCAAGGGTGGCTCGGCCTCCCAGTTCTATTCCAAAGAGTGATATCGGCGCGTTGGTCTTGTGATTGAGTAGCGAAAGATTACTTTCCGCCATGTTCCATCAAGGACACCCCATGTCATGCCTGGTCATGCAAAATGCCCGTCACCTCTGTCCTCATGGAGCGTGTTTAAGAGATTCCACCCCTGGAAACGCCGGCTTCACTCTAATTACGGCTGGTTGGGCAAGCCAACTTTATGGTTACTCATGAAATTAGAAGAAAGCCTCGGCCTGCCACGGAAACAAATCTGTACTTGAACCCAGCATGGCCTGCCCAGCAAGGGAATCTTTAACAATGTGTCTCTGCTACTAACTACGCACTTACCCGTCTGTCATGGCCCATGACGGCCCCAACCATGAACCCAGTCTGGCCATACCTGGCTGGCAGGACTGTCATGATTGCCAACAACCCGGCATAGTCATGAAGCTGGGTCACGAAGGAACAACGAGACAGCCTCAAAGACCAAGGTCAAGGTTCCCAAGTCCATTCCCCGCCCACCAAACAGAGTGATCCGGGACGACGACGGCACAAGCGCAAGATGGCGAAGAACGAGTGATAGAATATTACAGTCGAGTTCTATCCAAACCAGAAAGGAATTACTGCGTTACCCGGAAGGAGCTACTAGCAATTGTGAAGGCAGTTGATCATTTTCATAAATATCTGAAATGGCAAGAATTTTAATTAGGACAGATCATGCGGCTCCCAAGTGGCTTATGGAGATGAAACAACCTGAAGGTCAAATAGCACGATGGCTCGAGAAGCTCCAACAGTATCACTTCACCATCCAACATCGTGCTTGAAAAATGCATGGTAACGCAGACGGTTTATCCAGAAGACCCTGTCAAACCGATTGTAAGCACTGCTGTAAAACGAAACAACGTGAAGGCACTGTCACGATAAGGAGTTTTAAACTTAGAACCGATGAACAGTGGACGATGACACAATTGAGGAAAGACCAAATGAAGATCCAGACATCGGAGCAATACTACGGCTCAAAGAAGGTAACGGCGAGAGACCACCGTGGCAGGATATTATGGACAGAGGGCTCGTTTTAAAAGCTCTCTGGGCTCAGTGGAATTAACTGGTTATTGAGAATGGTTTGTTAAAGCGCACGTGGAAAGTGCGGATGGCAGGACAGTAACAACCCAGTTACTGGTACCAAGGAAGAAAGTTACCCAGGTATTGGAAGAAATTCACGGTGGTAAAACTGGAGCCCATCTTGGAGTAAACAAGACCTTGAGCAAGCTGGGAGATCGTTTTTACTGGGTGGATTATTGCGAAGATGTCAAGAAATGGTGTCGACAATGTAAAACTCGTGCAGCCAGCCAAGGACCAAGCACTCGATCTAGGGGAAAAATGAAACAATATAACGTTGGACCGCCATTCGAAAGAATCGCTGCTGACATTGCAGGCCCATTCCCCGAAACGCACAAGGGCAACAATGACTCTTTAGTGGCGATGGATTATTTCAGTAAATGGCCAGAAGTTTTGCCATTCCAAACCAAGAAGCATCGACTGTAGCCGAAGTATTAGTCAATAATGTCTTCAGTAGATTTGGAATCCTCTTGAGCTTCACACTGACCAAGGAAGAAACTTCGAGTCAAGACTGTTCCAGAAGATGTTTGATCTGCTTGGTATTCACAAGACTAGGACAACAGCTCTACATCCGCAGTCTGATGGGATGGTCGAGAGATTCAATAAGACCATTGAAGAACATCTCTCGAAAATGGTGGATGAACATCAAAGAGATTGGGATCAGCATATGTAAATTAATTATTCCTAATGGCATATAGAAGTGCAGTTCACAACACCACCGGACTTACACCATCGAAGATTTTATTTGGTCGAGAATTACGGTTGCCTTGTGACTTAGTGTTCGGATCACCAGACGACATAGAGGTACGAACGTAGAGGACTACGCGGATGAACTGAAGGAAAGGCTATTGGGAATTCATAAGGCCGTGAGAAGTAAGATTACGCTAGCCAGTGACTGGATGAAAGCTCGTTACGACCTCAGAGCTAATTCTCCGGGATTTCAACAGGACGATAAGGTATACAAGTATAACCCATTGAAGTGCAAGAAAGGAGGGTCCCCAAAGTTAACTCCAGTATGGGAAGGTCCTTATACAGTCATCAAGAGGATAAAAGATGTTGTGTACCGGATTCAACGCAGCCCTAGAAGTAGATGAAAGTAGTTCATCTCGATCGATTGAAGAGATATCAGAATGGAAACCTTGATCGGGACGATCAAAATTGAGAAGGGGCAACGTCAAGAAAAATGGCCCATCCGCCAGAAATTAAAATGTATTACTATTGCCCGCAATAAATCATAAACGTATCCGCCAGAAATTAAAAAGACTTTTTCAGGCGCCATCTTTAGTCAAGTCGAGAAGTAAGGAAATCAGACAATAGAATTGTCTGGTATGAAGAAGTACGCTTTCCGAGAACTGGGGAAATTTCGAGAAGCAGTCAATAGAGTATATAAGCTGGAGCCATCGACAACTGAGACAGTTTTTGAAATTGAAATACCGCGTGGAGTTCTGAAAATCGGACAATTGGCAATAATAGTTAATGAGTGTGTGTTATAAGTTAGTAATTGTGTATAAAGAGAGAAAATAAATTCGTTAAGTATTTTATCGTGATTTTAAATTAGTGGACCCACGTAATCCGTAACAATATCAAGGTGCTATATTTTGGAAAGGTAATTTTAAATTCTTTTCAGTTAATTAAAATAGAGGGTGTCCCAAATAAAAAACAATTTTTCTGCTGATAACTCTTAAATTCATTAATTTTAACTTATACCTTAAACCATTAAATTCATTGCAAAAGTGTGCTTTGGAAATGTTTCTCATAGAAATACAAAATTTTCCATAGCAAAAAGTTACAGCGACTTAAAATGCACATTTTTTGAAAAACACCCGTAACACCGAAAACGGTGTAACAGATATTGATGTATGGTTTTCACCATCATGTTTTGATGAAAATTGAGCTCCAGACACCGATATTAGTTTTCGTCTATCTCCCATAGAAAAGGGTGTTTCCATTTAAAAGCGTCGAATTTGACCCACCCTGTACAATACTTTCAGAATTAATTCTTGCGCTGACTTCAAGCCAGAGAAATAAATTTTACTAAAATTTTTTTTTTTTTTTCTTTAAATTTACACAGGGGTATCAGAAATTGCTGGTGTATTTAAACAGTAAATTGGTGTAGTTAAATTGGTAAATTGGTATTTAACTGGTTCTTTTATAGAAAATCCAATATATCTACTAGTCATCGTAATATAACCAAAGAACAGCTTCATTTTTCTTTGATAAAATAATACATACTTATTAAACTATTGTGGTTACTTCATTTATTTCTTTTTTAACAATTATTACCACAGATTAACGTGTCATTACCTCTTTCAACAAGAGCTTTTCTTTGGCAGCAGCACCGTGCAACAGAGCTTTTACTTTATCCAACAAATGCGATTTTTTCTCCAGTTCATTTTTAACCTGTTCCAATTGAATTCTGAACTGTTCAGATTGGTCTCGCTGACTCATCATGCCTGTTTTAGCTTCAACTCGCTTCTTATTAATTTGAGTTTGTAAATCCTGGATCTTTTGCAAACTTTCGGCGTGTTGCTCTTTCAGTCTGGCATAATCTCGCTTAAGTTTGTCAGCTGATGACTTAAAAAAATAATTGTTCTGAAAAATCTTAATAAGCCAAAGTTATTTTTATGTCTGAGTTTGTTAATTGAGCAATTCTTACTACCTGTGTTTATTTTTTTAATGCAGGTGTTATACAGGGTTGTTTAACACATACGAAACGTAGTATTGTAGCTAAACGATGAGATTTTTACAAATTGTAAGTTTTGGGTTCGATGAAGGACTATTAGAGGTACAATTTAAAAAATACTCTTATTAAGATACATAGTGTCCCAAATAAGTAAAAATATCAAAGTTGTATTTTTAAATGGAACACCCTGTATATTATTTCATTTTAGTTTCTACGATTAAATAAAGTTGTGGAATTTGATCAAGGTTTATTATACTTAAACCCACTGTTTTTGGAAATATTTTCAATTTTGTGAAATTGCAGTAAAAATTGTAAGGCTTCATTTCCAAGGGTATCAAAGTTTTTAATACTAAATATTCACTGAAGTTTATTTATTGACAGTTATTGTGTTGCAATAATAAAAAATAATACTCACCTTATACAGAGTGCCTAAAAATTTACTTTAAATAATTATTAGCTTCCTAAAACGGCAATAACTTTGTTTAATTTAAACGGGAACACCTTGTATATTTTACGAGAATCAGCCAAAACAATTTAAATGTCTATCAAATTATATTATACCATTTTTTACCTATCTCTTTAAGTTTCCGTAGAAAATGCATTTCTTGTAATTTAGAATCCTATTTAATAATATACCCATGGAATATTGACATTTTAGATTATTTTTAAAAGATGTACCAAATTTTTAAAGAGTACAGATACTAATATTGTCGATATAATTTGTTTATTTTACTAAAAAATAAAACTGTTTAAATATTTGTTAAAGGACCAATTAATATGATTCCAGTATTCAAACTACATTAACTGACTACTGTTTGTGCTGATTAATAATAATTGCCCAAATACTAAAAAACTGAATTTTGTATGGCATTAGACAGTGTGGATAAAAAGAAACACCTTTAAAATGATATTTCATTTTTAATAAATACCTATTTATAACAACAGAGACTTTTAATTTTGATAACTTATTATTATATTGATTTCTGACTCAAATCCACATTTATTTAGAATAATTTATTAATCTAAACACAATTAAGTATGTAATTAATTATATATGGGCGGGAAATAATGGTGTTATATTTAATTAATGGTATAATTCTTTATAAAGATTTAAATAGTTTCTTTTTTATTAGTCATAATATTATCGCTTTGCTAAAAACGATAATATTACTAGCCTGTACATCTTGTACATTTGTTGCTTTAAAAACACCTAAATGTCAATATTCCATGGGTATATTGATAAATAGGGTCTAAATTATAAGAAAATGCATTTTCTACGAAAACTTGAAGGGATAGGTAAAAAATGGTATAATACAATTTGATAGACAATTAAATTGTGCATCTGATTCTCCTAAATTATACAGGGCGTTATTATTTTAATTGTAGAAATTAAAAATGTAATAATATACAGGGTGTTCCATTTAAAAAAAATACAACTTTGATATTTTTACTTATTTGGGACACTCTGTATCTTGTCAAATTATTTTTAAATTGTACCTCTAATAGTCCTTCATCGAACCCAAAACTTGAAATTTGCAAAATATAATTTTTTTTTTTTTTTATTTAAAATAAGAAAAAGATAATTTGAACTTGTATACAGGGTGGCCCACAAATGCGAAGTGTTGCATGGTTGAGATGCATATCCTAAAAATATTTTGTTTATGTGTTGGTCTCATAAATAGATTCAACATAAAATTCTGCATAAACTTTTATTTGAAGCACTGTGCACTATGCGTTGTTGTTATGCTATTTATTATTTACTGAAACTTTGGTTAAAAACAGTATATCTATAACTTTTTCACAATTTTTTTGAGACAAAACTTAATATTTTTAGGATTTGATTAATTTTTATTATTTAAGATGTCTTTATAATCTATGCAAATCTATACTAATATATAAAATCCTTAAGTGACTGACTCACTGATTAATCACGATCCTGCTCAAACCACTAAACGTAAGAAGCTCAATTTTAGCATACTGGTTGATTCTAGGATGTAGGGACAGGTTCACATAAGAAGGGATTTTCTTGAAATTCCAGTCTGGGTGAAACTTTTGGGTGAAACCACCCTCAAATATTACAATATTTTTATTTAAAATTTGGAAAAAAAAAAAAAAAAAAAAAAAATAATGTATATTTTATTTTGTTCTTGTTACATATTTTAAGATTTTTTAAAATGTATACAAGTTTTTTCGAAAAATCTTATTTCATTAATTAATCACGATCCTGCTTTAAAGCGCTTGGACGTAAAAAGTTGTTTTGGAAAATGGATTGACTTTAGGGTGTAGGAGGTTCGATAAGAAGGGATTTCGAAACTCGAAACTCGAATTCTAAGGGGTGAAATCACCCTCAAACATTAGGAATATTTTTTATTTAAAAACCGGTGAGTTTTCCGAAAATTCTTAAACACGTATATTTTGTATTTTATTGTTTTACATATTTTAAGATTTTTTAAAAATTTATACAGGGTGTTTCATAAAATATGACCATTGAGTAATCACGATTCTGCTTAAACTGCCTGACGTTTAAAGCTGATTTTTGGCAAACGGATTGACTGTGGGGTGTAGAGGTTCGATAAGGAGGGGTTTCTCGAATCTCAAATTCCAAGAGGGTGAAAACGCCCCTCAAATATTACAATATCTGTTATTTAAAAAACGGTTAGTCTTTATTTCTCTGTCTGTATTTCATATCTTTGTCAACAACGACGATATTGGACTTCCTCGCACTAATGGATAATGGGCCACCATAATATGTACATTTTTCTTACCGCGCGTTGCGAAATTGGTGTTTTTCCACTGACCAATCTCTTGTTTTCCACTTGCAATTTTTCCACTACTCTTTTCAGTATAAAAACCGTTCTTTCCAATTGAGTCACTCTTCTGTCTTCTGAACTTCCTTCAACTGGACTGGCACATTCGTGTTTTTCGCTTTCAAATTTTAACACTTCTATGTAACTATAGATAAAAAAATAGCAATTATTATTATATTTTGCTCTAATTTTCTCTCAATTTTAGGAAAATTAAAACAATGGCGACATATAAGATTTTTATAAATATTAGATTAATAGACTAGAACTAGTTTAGAAGACTAGAAGTAGTCTAGACTTTAAAACCAAATGTTCACAGTCTAGACTAGTTTCTAAGCCCAAAAATGTTAGAAACCAAAAGTTTGTTTTTGTCTTGGATGTTGTCATGTTGTGACAAAATTTACAGTAGATAGATACCTTTCCAAATGTTGAATTTGCTCCTGAAGATGGGGCGTTTCCTTGGTATGTTTTTCCAGATCCATTTTCAGCTCTAAATTTTTGGCTTCTAGACATAGATTCGTTTTTTGCAAGTTAGATAAGGTGGAGTGAAGTCGTTCCAGTTCATTTCCAACTTCTATATTACCCTTAAAAGGAAATATATAAAGTTACCCTTATTTCTTACAATAAATACTATAAAATGTATTGGCTTTTATTTAAAAAAAATATAAGAGCGTAATATTTTTATACACGCCTTCTAATACAAAATATAGAGTGTCTGAAATCTGAGAAATGTAGAATATCTAGCACTGAATAACCCTAACAATTACTAATTTTCAAATAGTCATCCTGTAAATATGCTGAAAATATAAACTGTATTTTGGTAAGGTAAGAATGAAAATGTCATTACAAAATCACTTACCACAGAATATATTGCATTGAAATACTCAAACGTTAGTATCCCAATAATTTTGTAATCACTTATTGTTATTTGAAATCACCTATTGCCATTATTAAAATGTTTCTTCGGATTTTTATTAAAAATATGCATATTATAAAAAAAATAAATTTAAAATTGTGAAAATAAATAAGAGACGATCAGAAAGTTAAGAAAAATATGTCCACCTTTTTTAATTAAACACCCTGTATATTTTAAGTTTTTTTGAAAAATAGTTTTCTTGCTATTTCAAACGTATAAGTTTGTTTATATTTGCGTGGACCGTTTTTCAATTATGGTTTAACCGGTGTATTTAAAAATTTATTTCAATATAATTTTGGACATTTTTCCGATGTATACCGAGTGCGCCTCGAAAGTGTCTCACTCTATTATAAGTATTTTATTTTTTTAGATACAAAAATGAGATTTGGAATGTTAGTATATGACATAAATTTGGACTGATTGACGCATTAAATTGTTTTAGGTCACTTCCTGTTTTACCGGAAATGACTACAACTTTTGAATTTTAAATGGCACCTTCGGTATGTTTTTACTTTATTCGATAGAAAATGGCACTCTGAATAGAATGACATATCATATGACAACTTTTGACATTTTCGCTTAAAAAACGTATTTTAAGTTTCAATCTAGAGTATCGATGGTTGAGTTAAAAACACTAATTTTGACTCAAGGAGCCTTAGAAAAACAGATTTGATCTTCTAATTTTTTTCGTATCTTGTTCTGGCCGGTTAAAAGATGCCTAAATCGTATTTTCAATCATATCTCAATGTTTTCAAATGGCTTATTAGCATATTTGGAAAAAGCATTTTTTTACTAATAATTTGTTTGGTACCATACATTTGGTGTTTCAAAACCATATGCCAACATATAACAACCTCAAATAAACCATATGCGAAAATGTCAAAAGTTGACACATGATATGTGATAATATTCCGGTGAAACAGGAAATGATCAAAAACAATTGGATACGCCAATCAATCCAAATTTATGTCATATACTAACATACCAAATCTCATTTTTTTTATCTGAAAAAATTAAAAAGTTATAGGGGTGAGCCACTTTCGAGACGCACCCGGTATACAGGGTTTTCAGAGAGAAGGATTTAGTGCGATAAGAAGTAAAGTTTTTATTTAAAAATTTATCTTAACTTTCTGATCGTCTTTTGTTTCATTTTATTTAATTTTGTATAGCTATTTTAAATAATTTAATTTTAAATAGTTATCCACCTCTGACTAACTATCTCTGAAAATCTTGTGCATTTAAGAAATTAGAATTCGTCGCACAAAATTGTCTAACTGCATATTAAAAAAAGTTAAATTATAAACTAGCACTACTATAATTTAAACCAATAAATATATTAAATTGGTCAACATTTAATCAGAAAATCGAATCCTATACAGAAAGTTGGTTTTACCAACAAAATTCAAACAAAATCTTTGCCTTTTCCTCGTTTACTGAAAAGTATAAACGTCTAAAATCTACTAAAGACAAAGTTTAACCACTTTCCTTGAAGCAAAACATCGTTGTTTATATGTATAATATAATTTAAAGCTTTCAACTTTCACTAGCTAGAGATACTTCCTCATCTGGGTCACTACAAATCTGTATCTTCCGCTGTTATATTACAACAATACGTAACTAAACAAATAATATTTGTTTTAACTTGTGAAAAAAATGTTTTGGTTTTACGTTATTTTCGGTGTTGTGGTTTTTATTTATTCGTATTTTCATTACAGTTACATGTATTGGTTGGAGCTCAGAGTGCCTTCACTGAGCCCTGAATTTCCTTTTGGAGATATGAAAGATCCCATTTTAAGGTAAATACCAACAACAGTTTCTATGTATTTAGGTTTTATTATTTAATGATTAATATTTTTATTCTAGAGTATGTCCCCGGATTATTCTTTACAAGAGGAAAAACTTTTTAATTCTTTACATTTTGAGAAAAATGCATTCTTCATAAAAATGTTGTGTTTCTTTCTTTTAGAAAATTTCTAGGTATTTAAGTAATCTACAGGAACACGGTTTGATAACCAAGTCAAAATTTATTGATAGAGAAATTCATGTAAACGTTTTATTCAGAAAATGTGTTTTTTAATATTAATGTTCATTGTTTAAAGAACAAAAACCTAGGCCCCCTGGGTTCAACCCCAGGCCCCCCCTAGGATGAATTGCTAGTTACGCTAATGTTTTTAACCCAGCCATGGCACCCTAGATTTTAAGTGAAAATGTGAAAGTTGACATATAATATGTCATTCTATTGAGAGTGTCATTTTCTATCGAATAAAGTAAAAATATACCGTTGGTGCCATTAAAAAATCAAAAGTTTTATTAATTTCCGGTAAAACAGGAAGTGACCAGAAACAATTGAATTCGTTAATTAATCTAATTTATGTCACATACTAACATACCAACTCTCGTTTTTATCTGAAAAAATAAAAAAGTAATCGACCAGTGAACACTTCCTAAAACTTGTCTATTTAATATTTTTCTTAATTCTCAAAACAAACAGGATAATGACATTTATCGTTGGCGCATCCTGTATATTAATAATTTAACCATTATACCAGATTTAGTATTATTTTTTTTGCTCTTTTAGGCGGCAATGCATGGGCGAGAAAATCAAAGAAATCTACGACTTCGGAACCAAACATTGGTACAATTATATAGGCCTGTACTTTTTCAGCAGGAAAGTCTTTTTACCCATAGATCCTGAATTGATAAAGAACATTTTGGTCAAAGATTTTAATTATTTCTCAGATAGAGGTAAGACAAAAGTTTTTTTTTTCTGACATTAAAATTTTGAAAAGTTATATTATCTACAGGGTGGTTTGCTGGTTCGATTGCAATCGGGAATCTTGGGCAATACGTTCTGCAGAAAAAAACATAAGTAAAAGTGTTCGTATAAATGTTTGTCCTAAAACTCTTCGTTTCGGAGATCCAGGGTCTAGAATTTTCATTTTTATTTGGGGTTTTTCCAAATTATTTCTGAACTAATGATGATATTCGGATCAAAATTGGTGTCTGGGTATTTTTTTACATTAGAAATTCGATTTCTATGTTAGTATGACTTCTACTTCTACTCGTAAGGGACGCCACTTAAATGTTTCTAAAACGGATGCTGTTTTATCATATTTTTTTTCAAGGAAACTATTTTTTAGGTATCCATTACGACGAAAAGTACGACCCTTTGAGTGCCCACTTGTTCTCCATTGCAGGACCGAAATGGAAGAATTTGAGGGCCAAACTCACACCGGCCTATTCGCCGGTTAAAATCAAAGGGATGTTCGACATTATGTACAAGTGCGCTCACGAAATGATGCTGCTAGTAGGGGAAATAGCTATGTCGGGAAGACCAGTCGATATAAAGGTTTGTATGTGACGAAAATATGACAACAAACTGACTGCTATTTGCACATCATTAGTTTAAAGAATAGGATGTCCTATTTTCGTGCGTTATATCGATTTCGTTATAGGGATTCCCGTTTATGAGTAGAGATACAAAGATGCGCTTTTCACATCACTGTATTATTTGTTTTATGAAAGTAAAGATGCTACCACAAAATATCCCCCTTTAGAATATTTTCTGTAATAGTAATGACTGGAAGTAAAAGCTATATTGTGCGAACAAACTAGAGGCGCTGCTACTCATTAAATCGTTATCATATTTTTTATTCGCTACTCATTTTTATTTCGTTATGTTTTGTGAATATTCGGTGTGTGATTTTGTCAATTTCCTCATTAATTACTGGTGTATTTGTACTTATTTTACGAGGTACATTTTATTTTCATTATTCGTATTTAATTGCAATGGCTTTTTTCGACCGAGAATGCAAACCTGCGAAGAAGAACTGTTGCGTTGTTAATTGCGACAACAAAAATGACAGTTTTTGTCGTTTTCCAAATCCCCGGAAAGATTCGAATTGTTGTGTACGTTTTTTTTTCAGTTTATGGGTATGTAAAATACATAATTTATAATCACATCAATGAATATTTTATTTTTATAAACGTTCGAAACATTTACTAAACTGACATAAAGCGTCAAATTCAACGATTCAAACCATAATTTCTCGATATAACGGGTGCGTCTCAAAAGTGGCTCACCCCCATAACTTTTCAGACAAAAAAACGAGACTTAGTATGTTAGTATATGACATAAATTAGGATTGATATTGATTGACGTATTCAATTATTGTTTTTGGTTACTTTCTGTTTCACCGGAAATGACTACAACTTCTGAGTTTTAAATGGCACCGTCGCGTCGGTACATTTCTACCTTATTCGATAGAAAATTACATGCTGAGTAGAATGATATATCATATGTCAACTTTTGACATTTTCGCTTAAAAAATCGTGTTTTAAATTTCAATCTGACAGCCAGGGCTGTATTAAAAACACAATTTTTAATCAAGGAGCCTTGGAACAATAGACTTGATCGTCTAATGATCTTTGATCGTTTTTAGTGTCTTGTCCTGGCCGGTTAAAAGCATGCACAAATCGTGTTTTTAACCATATCTCAATTTTTTCAAATGGAACGAGGGTGGCTCATTAGCATATTTGGAAAAGGCATTTTTTACGAATAATCTGATACCACACACTTAGTCAAATTGGCGTTATGAACCGCATGTTACAATTTCAAGTAAACCACGTACGAAAATGTCAAAAGTTGACATGATATGTCATTCTATTCAGAGTGTCATTTTATAGTATATCGAATAAAGTAAAAAAATACCGAGGGTGCCATTTAAAAATCAAAATTTGTAGTGATTTCCGGTGAAACCGGAGGTGACCGAAAACAATTATATATGTCAATCAATTCTAATTTATGTCATATACTAGCATACCAAATTTCGTTGTTTTACCTAAAAAAAAATAAAAAAGTTATATGTATCACTTTTTTTGTTTTGGTTTGGTTTGGTATCACGTTTTATTTTATTTGCCTTGTTATGAGCTCTCTAAAAATATAGTATACTCTATACATATTTTCATAAATATGGCAAATATTATTCGTCGGTCGGATTAAATTAGGTAATCAAAACAATCGAATAATTTATTCGACGTCAAATTTTGGTCATTGGCTATTCTATGCTAGTTTCTGTCAGTAAAATTATTGCAAGAAAACTGCATCAAAATATTAATAACTCTGATTGACAGTGTGTTATCTAAAAGCTGCTCGAGTTTTTTTTTCAGTGCAGTTATAACACAAATAAAATAAAAACATAAAATACAAGGTGTCACATTAAAAAAACAGAAAACAGTATGTGCACTACGCATATTTCAAGTGAAACTTCTTACTAACAGTTATTAAATTGAAGTATTTGAAGGACATGTTTGAAAAAGTGACATAATATATGCTGTTTTAAGTATTTTAATATAAATATTATTTTCAATTTATTTCTGTAATCTGTACATTTTCTGTTTCCCCAGTAGCCTGCAAATTTTATGGAATACCATCCAAAATACACACTTTTACGCAAATACCTAATAATGTTAACGCTTAAATGTATTTAAGAAGTAGAAAAATTTTTTAACCTCAATTATTAACCTAATTTTGTTAAATTATACGAATATTCTCGTTGATTATTGATTTGGAATAAATATGACAGTGTCCTCTCTCTCCAATGAAAATGCGAGTTACTAACTCTATATATAATAATTCTAATTCTAAGCTGGCAACTGAGCTTCATGCTTTACCTAGACCGTTATTCAGAAGCTACAAACAAATCGATGAAAATATGCACGAAAATTTACTTTCTAGCACACAACTATAGGATATTGGTACACAGGTACCAATAAGTGTATATTTTATTCTATTAGTAGTAAATTTAAGCGTAAGGTGTAATAATAAAGTGTATTGTTGCAATAAGTGTATAGTATAGTAGGTATCAAGTGTATTATAGTAATTTTCTTAGCCGCGCATGACACAGATCATTACCCAGAGCGAGTTAAATTGTTTTACAAAGGGGTAGATCTACCCCGAACCGGGTAGCTGTGGCAACACTGCTGTTACCAATTTTCCTGACACTAGCTCCTGTGAATTTTTACTACAAACGCGCGTAAAGAAGTTTCACTTCAAAAAACGTTTATTAAATGTTTTTCACATTTAAAAAAAATTGAGTCATATGTTGAAAATAACAGATCCCTACGAAAATCTAGTTACGCCATTGATACGTGAAAATTTTATTATACAGTTTTCGTCTTTTCGGTATATTATAACAAAGATACAGGGTGGTCTAAAAGACTCTATAAGGGCGGCTAGGAGATATCTGTGTACAGCATCTTTAGTTTTATAAAAAAGTAGCACATACGAAAACCGCATCTTTTTTTTTAAATGGAAACACCCTTTTCTATAGGAGATAGACGAAAACTAATATCGGTGTCTGGAGCTCAATTTTCATCAAAAACATGATGGTAAAAACCGCACATCAATATCTGTTATCGTTTCGGTGTACTCCGTAACACCGTTTTTCAAAAATGTGCATTTTTAACAAATCGCTGTAATTTTTTTGCTATGGAAAATTTTGTATATCTATGAAAACATTTCCAAAGCACCTTTTTGCGTAAGATTTAATGGTGTAAGTATAATTTTTTTTAAATTAATAATTTAAGTGTTATCAACAGAAAAATTGATATATTATTTGGGACACCCTCTATATTTTTAATTAACTGAAAAGAATTTAAAATTACCTTTCCAAAAATATAGCACACTTGATACTTTGTTATAATCCCTTTCGAAATACAGAATTTTTAAAAGTTTGCCACTGTTAACTAGTATGTTTTGGACTCGGTTTTGGACCCCTTATTGATGATATGCCCTTAATGGAACTCGAAAACATATTTTTCCAGCAAGACGACGCACCGCCTCTGAACGCTGAAGTTATCAACTAACTTTTGCAGCCAATTTCAAGAATAATTGAATAGCTAACCAATATCCCAGCCGTTGGCCGCTGTCGACGCTGCCTGACTTAGTGCCCATGGATCTAATCCTATGATATGGTTTGCGGAAGAATAAAGGTCTCTTGGTCCTTATTCTTCCGTATATAATCTAAGGACAAGATTTAGAAATACTTGCAGTTAAGGAGGGATTTTCTCACCCCCACTGAGTTAATGATTTCCGCGAGAAATGCTCAAAAACTGCCCCATCCGTCCATAACAGAAGACGGTCGATATGTCGAACACCTGTAGCAAAATCTCATGTCTTGGTTTTGTTATTTATTTTTATTGTTATTAGATATCGTTTAAATGTGTTGATGTTGGTTAAATATATTTTAAATGGTTATAAAATTCAATGCATCTCTCATAGCAAATACATTATTTTCTGCTCTAATATCTGTTTTAATTGATGCTCACAGCTAGAATTTTTACAGCCGGTGCCGTTCAAAGCCCAATTTCCATTTAAAAGCGGGCGAATTTTTATATCTCGAAGAGGATTCGGGCGCATATCGCATGCTATATTTTGAAAGGTAATTTTAAATTATTTCATTAGATTAAAAATATACAGGGTGTCCCATATAAAATCAAATTTTCTGTTTTCATTGATATATTCTTAAATAACAACTTTAAAAAATTATAATTTAAAACCATTAAATCTCTACGTAAAAGGTGCTTGGGAAATAAGCCATAAGAATACATAATTTTCCATAGCAAAAAAGCTACAGCGATTTGTTAAAAATGCATATTTTTGAAAACACCTCGTAACCTCGAAACGGTAAATAGAGCATATCGATATGGTTTTCACCATCATTGCTTTTGACAAAAATTGAGCCCAGACACCGATATTAGTTTTTGTCTATCTCCTATAGAAAAGGGTGTTTCCATTTAAAAGCGTCGAATTTGACCCACCCTGTACATACAATAAATTTAATGTGGTTATTCATTTTTTATTTGAGTAATAAAAAATCATGAATATGTAAATCAAATTGCCACTAATAAAATTAACAAAAGATCTCAAATGTTTACTTTTCATATTAGTACCTAAAAAAATTAACAATAAAGTGTTAATTAATTATTTAATTTGTGTTGATTGTTGAAATAAGAACGAATATTAAGTACCTCCAAATTATAATTATTAATAATGTTTTAGGGAAATTAAGTGGCAAGATACAGCAATTGACGTTATTGGATGCTGGCAGCTTTTGGATTTCAACTAAAATTAATGATGAGAGATCCAGACGCAGAATTCAGAAAAATGGGCAAAAGAGCCTTCACGCAAACCGTAGGAGACCTTTTGAAAATGGTAAAGGGTTTTGTTAATATTTAGGCTCATTTTGAACTAAGAAAATTTCAAAATTTCTGGAGATACTCGGGAAAATCAAGAAATTCTAGTAGAAAATGCTAGAGAAATAAAAAAGCCTTGGAAATTTAAATAATTATTCTTTTTTTCTCAGGTAGTTATTCGAAGTTTCCCGTTCTTAGCTAGACTGTTTGGAATTGGAGTTTTTCCCAAAGATGTTACCGAATTCTTCAGAAGGGTCGTGCGTGAGACTATAGAATATCGAGAAACGACGTGACACTCACAGATATCATGCAAATTGTTGGCTATCTACCTCAAGCAAAGTGCCTAATGAGGATACAATCTCAACTGAGGAACAAAATCAGGACTAATTCTATAAAAAAGCTAAAGGAGTACAGAGAACACCTATACCGATAGTTTCAAAAGTGGCTCAACTCTCTATGAATTTTATTTTTCAGATAAAAACGATTTTTTTTTTTTTATGTTAGTATATGACAATAATTAGGATTAACTGACATTATTTAATTGTTTTTAGTCACTTCCTGTTTTACTGAAATGACTACAACCATTAATTTTAAATAGCACCCTCAGCATATTTTAATTTATCTGATAGAAAATGACATTCTGAATAGTATTCTAAATTTCAATCTAGAGTGTCGCCTGTGTTAAAAACACTAAAAATTAGTGTTCACAGTTCGGAAAAATAGATTTGATCATCTAATATTTTCGTGTCTTGTTCTGGCTGGCTAAAAGATGCCCAATCGTATTTTAACTCATATCTCAATTTTCAAATGGAAACAAGGGTGGCTCATTAGCAGCCATTTGGAAAAAGCACGAATAATTTTTCACGAATAATTTGATAACGCATACTTGGTATTTCTGAGTTAAATTATCGTTATGAACTGCATGTTACAGTTTCCAAATAAATCATGCAAAATTTTAAAAGTTGACGGGTGATATATCACCCTATTCAGAAAATAATTTTCTGTCAAAAAAAAAAAAAAGTTGTTGTCACTTCCGGTGAAACAGGGGGTAACCAAAAACAATTGAATTCATCCTAATTTAAGTTATAGACTAAAATATCAAGTCTCGCTTTATTATCTGAAGAAATAAAAGAGATATAGGGATGAGCCACTTTTGAGACGCACCCGGTATAGGTGTTCTCCTTTTTTGTCACTCAGGAGAAGATTAGTTTACTTTTAACAAACTGAGAAAATTAGCGTAAATAAAACCACAGATTAGGTATCCCATAAGTATGATAAAAATCTTGCCCCTAATTCGTGGTACGAAAAATTGTTTTTTATGACGATGCAAAACGAGTCAAATTTCCTAAAAAACGCTTAAAAAAAAATAAAATAACAATAAACAGCGTAATAGAGAGATATCGCTAAACTGAATAGCGTGCATGAACGTTAATAAGACCAGGTGTTATTTCTTTACGTGAGGTGGTGGTATTTAACTCTCTCTCATTTTATAGTTATCGGATCGGAAAGAATTCTGACCGCGTCGCGTCCGGTATTAAACTTAAACCTAACCTTTGAATTTAAACTTTGAAATTGTTTTGTTTACTAGGTATTTTAAACTAAAGGGCTAAAGTGCTTATCTCCAGTGCTTTATTGTTCAACGTCTGCCAGTGGGTTTAGGGCAACAAGCAACAAATTCTTTTAGAAGGTCTAAGTCGTCATCTGCTGGAAACCTAAGACTCTTTATAGGTTCTTTAGTATTGAAGAGGTGGAATCCATATTTTGGGGCCATATTTATTTAATTAAACTAATCCCAGCTACTTAAATATCAAATTACCTAATAAAACTAAAGCAATAATTCAAAACACAATTCAAACATAACCTAAAATAAAGATCCTCTGGCCGAATCTGGTTGTCAGTAAATACCCGTACAATTTCTCCATTTTAAGCAATTTTAAACGTTATCAGAGGTTATTAGAAAGAGCGCTTGGTGTAATTGATCCAAATTACGTCAGGCGCAGGCGGTAACGTTATTAGCGGGTGTTGCGTTAAAAATTGACTCGCTCATATCGTAACCATATCGTAATAAGGTACGCGTAAATACTGGATGACGTTATTCGGTTTTCCGATATCTCTAATAACTGTGCCGGTCATGCGCTGTGCACAATTTTAGAGGCCATAAGGGTGCGTGCTATGTGCGCAAACTAGTCACCTAATCCAGTGACCGATTCCGAAAATTGAAACCACTAAAACAATAAAGAAAACAGCATTTCATTATAATCTGTATAATCTGTGATATAGGTAACCAAGGCATAATTTTTCAGGAGACAGAGCCTGGTACAGCCTTAACAATAGACGAAGCAGCGGCCCAAGCTTTCATATTTTTCTTAGCAGGATTCGAAACAACCTCAACCACTACTAGTTTTGCCTTGTTTGAACTTTCCATCAACTTTATGTATCGTGAAAAAGCCAGGAAAGAAATTTCAGCAGTCTTAGAGAAATACAATGGAACGATGACCTACGACGCCCTAATGGAAATGAAATATCGGACTGTGATCATGTGCTTCAAATTTGTAATTTCTTGGTATATTCATCTGTAAAAAGGAGCAACGGCCCAACTAAGTTAAGTGACGTTAGAGGATACGAGTGGATGGACGGGTATGGAAACTCTATTGTGCTGTTTTTCCATGACAAGAGTGTAAAATCTATTAATACATTGCTCATTCACGCCGCGCCAGCCGGTTCGAGGCCGGATGAGATCGGATATCTCGTGAGTAAAAATCGATATAGACACTCGCCAAATCGGTAGGTAATTGACAATGATATGGCTGAGGAACGCGGTTCGGATTCAAGTGTCAGTGCGAAAGGCCCCATCCAGATAAATCCCTAGCAGCAAAAGAGATGTTAGTTTAAAGTAATATACTTTTTTTCAAACGTCTTAGTTTTAAGTGATGCGGATTGACAATATAAATGGGTCATTTTAACGCCTAGGCATAAAAGTAATGAAAATATATTATTATACCGACATAAAGTATCAAATTCAACGAGGGTAAATCCATAATTTCTTGATATATAATTACTTACAAGGCATTACTTTTAAATGGTTTTATATTATTTGGAACATTTTAAAAAAAATTGTCTAAAAAAAATTAAAAAAAATTTTGTGACGTTTGAAAAAAAAATAGCATGTTCTATCTGAGTAAAAAATACTTTTGTGCCTTTAATAGGATGTCCGACTCGCTGACGCTCGTCAGTCAAACGTTCTGTGTTTAATTTATCAATTAATATTTTAGTAATTAATTGATTTATTGGTTTTATTCTTTTACCTATTACATATTGGCAAAACTAGTCCATTATGAAGATTATTCTAAGCGTTATTATGTAACAAGTAATAACAAGTAAGAGGGTGCCATTAATACACAAACAATAATCACAGAACATACTAATAAGGTAGAAATATCTTTAAAACTGCTACCAATTAAACTTACTTCTCTGACTTCAGTCAAGGGTAATAAAGGATCTTTATTGTCACGTTCACGTTCAATATAGTTTATCAGGGAAGCTACAAGCCCTTTGTTTCTACTATTCAAATGTTTGGCAATTTCATCAAACAATTTCAGGAAAAGCAATACAAAAAACTGAAAAATTTAGTTCTTAAAAGAACTGTTTGTATTAAAGCATAATTTTAAAAGACTATGAAAATAGGCAAAAAACGAGAATTACCTCACAGATTCAACAACAACACGATATTATACAAAATAATGACTGACATTAGGATAATTGTCAAATAATAAACGACAACCTTGCTGAAAACAACGCAATGTGACCAACATAGCGATAATAAATTTCGGTTTAAACTAATTTTGCAGCTTTAATATAAATAAAATATCTGTTATAATCATTTGCTCTATAAAGTAAAATGAAGAGCTGCTGGTATCTTAAATTATACAACAAATTTAAACATTTTGCTAAAATTTCATTTAGTCAGTTTTATATATGAAGTGTCAATTTCTGATATATTAAGGATTAATGAAGTGTATCTGAAAATGTTTTGCGATTACCGTATTAATAAGCGTATTCTATACATATGTATTTTCGTTTGTAGAAACTTTAAGGAAATATCCTCCTGCACCGGTTTTCCTGAGGGTATGTACAAAGCGGTATCCCATTCCTGACACTGACGCCTACATAGAGAAGGGCCAATCAGTGCTGATTCCGTGTTACGGTCTTCACAGGGACGATCGCTATTGGCACGAGCCTGACATCTTCGATCCGGAAAGATTCAGCGAGAAGAACAAGGATAAAATCGTGGATGGAACTTATATTCCTTTTGGAGCAGGACCACGAAATTGTATAGGTATGTTCACATATCTTAGACTATAGCTAATAGCTATCTCCAGAAAAACAATCTAATAACTATCAAATTTTGACATAAGTTGTATTTGCTATATCGGATTCTTTAGTTGAATAGACTCAAATATAAATAAAACAAGTTTAGATTGGGAGGTGTCCATAAGGATAATGTAAAATATTATTTGGCGCTGTTCTTGTAGCGGACACGATCCAAAGCTTTTGATGTAGGAGCGGTACACGTAAATCAAAATTCTATTTCCTTTATCCATGAATAGACTATTATTGTTAACTGAAAGAATTGGGAAGACACGCAATCCAATGCGCAAATTCGTGACAAGGCTGATTTCATTTCCTTTTACGTCTCAAGTGCTGTACGGTGGAGCCTCAACTCGTTCTGCAGCTAACGCATAAACGCCCATTTTCTAATTCGGCCAGCGAAGGCATATCGAAGACGGTGTGGGAACTGAAAGCGACAGTGCGTGTTGCCATATTAAAATGTGTTATATCTATAATACGTTTGACGAAAATATATCTTGTGGGATAAAAATCCGTTTTGTATTGAAAATGTATTTGTGTTAAACATAGAATAAACCAACAAAATAATTTTATAGGTACTCGAATATTTCGTATGATCGAAAAAGTCGTTTAGTTGGTTTGGAAACGATGACCGAATTCATTGACATTTACCATAATATTTTACATATGAAATAACATCGATCTTGATTTTGCCAACTCGACGCCGTTCTTTTTGGGTAATCATATAATATTATATTAAATTATTCAAGGATAGAAAATCAGTATTATTAACGTAATTGTACCCAAAACTGTAACCCACACTGATTCAGAACCATGGTCTGAACACACCACCTAATCACTTGAGAACCCTGACCATATATTGAATATTTACATGTAAATACCATTTCAAGCAATTTTTGTTTAGGAATAAGATTTGCTCTAGTCCAAGCCAAGATTGCCCTTGCCCTATTCCTCATGAATTTCGACTTTGACTTGAGCCCTAGAACGAAATTGCCTCTCAAAATGGAGACCAAAGGCATCATTCTGTCACCAATAGGAGGGTTGTGGTTGAGAGTCAATCCCATAGACTGATACTAATATTAGATTAGACACAATAAATTTACCAGTAGATTTATTAGTAGGTTTTGTAGCATGTTATGTCACAATAATTGTTATTTAGGTTTATAATATTGTTGGAGAATATTTTTTTTATAAGAAAGGTACCCAAAATTTTAATAGAATATTAAGTGAATGATATAATACAAATATTTGTTTTTTATGATGGTAAATTCTTATTTTAAAGACACTTATATCTGTCCAAGAAGAATATATAACAGCTATCTAATTTTAATTGTAATTAATTAAAAAGTAAAATGTTTGTCAATTTTTTCATGTTTACCTTTCCAAATCATTGAAAAAATAATAAGTAAAACACTATTTTTCTATTCATACATTACAGCAATAATGTAACTGAAACGAAGCAAAAAAAAAAAAAACTTATATTAAAAAAAATTTGAATGTAACGAAAAATTGGTGAATAAATAATTACCTTGGTAGTCAGCTCCAACACAGCAATTTTTCTCTCTTGTGCCTCCAATTTTTCCTGCATAATAGCGGCTCCCAAGGCTCCAGCTCCTTGGTGGAGACTCTCTATTCTCTCCCTGAGATTCTCCACCTCTTCGTACAGGCGTCTGTTCTCCAATTTCAACATAGCTATCTCGTGATTTGGCACAGTCTTGGCATGGTCCGATTTCAGCGATTTTATTTTATTCCTCCAAGTTGTAAGCCCCTTCCAGTCTATCAACCCAGCAATGGAAGTAGGTAATAAAAAATATTTTAAATAAACGTATAGGCTAAATAATCGACGCCGCGAGAATTGAAATCTAAGTGCTAAAAAGTAACCTTTGGAAATGTAACCTTTGGAAATGCTTTTTGATAATATTATCTCTTATTTAGAACATTCCAACTTGATAAAAAATACTATTTATATCTCGTAGTTTTTCTTTCAAATAGGTAAATAAACTCGTACTTTAATTTAAATTTGATTGTTATGTTTAATATCCATAATAAAATCATTTTATTATCCTGATAATCTAACATAAAAGGCTGTGGAAAACAAAACTTTAGTTTACGTCAGTTGATAACCTGCCATTTAAGTTTCCATTTTGCTTGACAGGTTGAAAAATGCTATTAAAAGCACTGAGTGTTGCGCTGGAAAGTGATTGCTTGAAGTAAGCACTGTTTTTTATTCATATTTTAACTTTGGTAGAAGAAAAATGTTAAAGGGACCAAGGGACCAAGTGCCAACAATTCAACTAGATTTCTGAATACCTAACAGACGGAGAGCTGGTTACATAAAAGACCTTATCATCATTACATGGCTAATTTTTCTTGTGAAGAACGCTAAGCTTGGCTAAGATTTGGCAATTGTGTAATAAAAAAGTATACTGGTTTCAAAGATGTATTTTATATTAATTTATTTATTGCCGATACATTAAAAAGAATCTAAATTGGTGAAAAGTTACCTTTTTACCAAAATATCAACGAATCAGGATATTATGTTCTTTTTACTATGCACTTATTAAACGTTTTGATATGCTTAAAGTAGCGGGTTTGAAATTATTTTGTCCATGATGAAGAACTTTATTAAAAAACACCTTGTACCAATAAGTAATCTTATGTTTATGAATGTTTTTTTAATTGCTTTCCTTCTTTCTTCTTTAAACCAGTAATAATTTCAATTTTATTAATATTTCTTTTAAAAGGCTGAAAAAAAAAAAAAAATAATTTTAATAAATATACCAAAGAAGTAAATTGTAATTTTGAGATATGTGGATCGGCTTGAATATTGAGGTGACCCAATATTCTTAAAAGTTTTATTTGTTCTAACTTCCAACAACATTCTTCCTCGTCACACTCGCCACTACAATGGAATAACTTTTACTGGCAACCTTTAGTAAATGTTACTTTCACTAGTGAATGTTAGAAATTACTAGTAAAAGTCGACAAATATCTTTTGGTCCTCATTCACTGGTCCAATGCGTAATTTTTAGCATTTCCTGTAGTGGATTGTTAATAAATTGAATCTCCCCACCTCAATTGTAACATATATATCACGCTAAATAAAAGTTAAAAACTCTATAAATACACTTACTCTTGTGTCTTAACAAGTTTGCTGTAATTTCTTGACAACCTCTTCTCTCGTTCTAATTTCTTGCTTTGAATTTTCTACAATTCTCCGCCAAAATTTCCTTGCTTTTTTCCATTTCCCCAAAATTCTCTAGCCACTGATAAACTCTGTGGCCTTGTTCAGTAATTTGATCATCACCTTGTTTTAAATTCTCTCTGCCTGTTTCCAGTACTGCTACCCTTTCTGAAGTTGATCCTTGATGGTTTTTGACGGTTTTTGAGTTAAGTACACCTGTCTTGAAATGAAAAGTTTTTTGTTATAAACTAATTCATTAGCTTGCTCTATGAATACTTTTCACTGACTACCGCAAGCTGTTGCTGAATATTTTATTAATTTTAATTGTATTTTTAGACATTGTGAATGATCAAACATTGAAGTATAAAGCAGTTGAAACTACCCATGAGGTTTCTGGAGTCATAAAAAAAAAATATGAGTTAATAATATAAATGATATCGTACCTTTTGAGAGTTGTTCACGCAGATTCTTGATTTCTTCTTGTAAACTCTTTTCTCTTTCTAGCAAACCATTGTATTTCTTTCTGAAAAATTCATTTTCCTTGGAAATATTGGCCTTTTGACTATCAGTAGCACCCGATCTGTAGTCTACAGTTTGGAGCTGAAATACAGCGTAAAAAAACAAAAATTATAAGTAATTTTATAGTTTTTACCCCAAAAAATATTTACATTTTCTTATAGCCAGTTAACTGTTAAAGGCTACAAAAAACTGATTAAAGAGAAAATATACGAGTACACACCTGCTTTAGCTTGGCTGTTAGTTCTTTGATTCTTTCTGTCTTTTCTCTAAAGTTTCTAGTATTATCTGGATCGAAGACTCCTCCATTTGAACTAGCAATTTCTTTAACAATTTCTTTTCTAGGAGTCTCTTCTCTTGCCAGATCTTTTAGTTTTTGATAGTCAGTTTTATAGTTAGTCAATTCTTTTTGGTGTTGTTCGTCCAAACTAAAAAATTAAATCATTGAAGTTTAATTGAAAAAATTCATGTTGTTAATAATTTATTTCACTAGGTGTGTGTTTTTTAATAAATGAAATTATAATAAAACTAATCCAACTTTTTTCCTAGTTCTTCTATGGCAACCAGTCTGTCCTGTGCCATCTCACGCCAGCGAGCCGCTTCTTGTTGCGCAGTATGCAACTGTACCTCCATTTTGGCCTGTCTGGTGTGTAATTCGGCTAAATGGCCCTCTAGTAGATGAACTTGCGACACGTATTTCTCCACAGCCGTAGTTTTTTGATTGGACAATATTTCCATTTGTTCCAGACTAAAACACACCAAAAAAGGTTATATTGTTCTTGCCTGGTACATTCTGATATTTAGTTTCAGCCAGCGGCAAAGGTTCTGATGATCACCCGCATTCTGTTGATGCGGGGCATTCTGTTGATGTTGAGACCGAGAGAAAAAGAAATTCTCGGCCGAGAACGAGACCGAGACACGATACAATATTTATTTAATAGTTTATTATATGAAAAAACATCAGATAAGAATCTTTGAATAAAAAAGAGATTAAGGGAAGGAGAATAATGCTATCCATGTATTTACGCATGGTAGACGGAGATGGGGCCCTAGGGTGGGGATCCTGGACAGCTCCGTTTGACGATTCATTTGACACATTTGAATTTGATTTGAAATTTTGTGAATTTTCACTTTTTACGGAGCTTATTTTTGTTATTTATTATTTATTCTACTACTGATAGTTGTATAAAGGTAGTAAATCTAGAAGAAAATTGTGGCAGAGCTTAAATTTACAGTGACACTCCACAGGATTATCGAAAAAGACTCAAAATAGTTGATTGTGTAGCGTGCGGTAGATCTCGGTCAAAAAAATCGAGTGAAATAATGAAACTTTTCGCTAGTAAGTGACTATATAATATACATACGTGTAGTAAAACCGACTAATTTATGAAATCATTTTTTTTTTTTTTTATATATTTTTCTTGCATTTTTGCTTTTGTTTCACTTGTCAAAGATTAGATGTCAATTAATTTAGATACGTCAATTTGACTTACTTTGGTTTCCAGTAGCGTATCGGATGTTTGTGTTAATAAATAATTATTATAACTTATCTATTTTTATTAGAATTTTTATATTTGCATAACAATTTGAATAACTAACAACATTTATTCACAACGTAAAATAAAACAACAAATTATTGAGTTCACCCCACGTCTACTCTACATCATAATTTTTACACTTTTAAATAAAAATTAGAACGGCACTGGAATTTAAGTCGACCATCTTATGGTGAACCTAATATTTTGATATGTTCCTTACTAATGATAATGTAATAAAAACGTTATTTTTATGCAGACACGGTTTTATTGGGATTTAAATACTATAAAATTATTAATACTCAATAAAATTACTCTTTTGGTCTATGTTATACAAAAAGCAATTTTCTTCAGCATTGAACCTTCAAATTATGCAGTGTTTCATCATATTTTATCTAAATAGTTGTTTTCCTTGTATAGAGACGCTTGATGATGGTGCAGACTAGAACTTTATAAGCTACTGGTTTCAGAGCTTTGTATGGAGATGAATAATTACACACAAAAAATTTTAATTTATTGTGGATATACGTAATTCATATAAAAAGCACAATTCTGTTAAATTTATAAACTTACATTAATAAGATACTAACATCTAACATTCCGTTTATTGTTTACGCATATAAGTCGATTCTTTAGCCGTCTAGGAAATTCCCTTCGTGATTCCATCAGATCATATTTTATATATAACTGATATGATCCATTCTTTTTTTCTACTTCGGACGAGTATTTCATTCATCCACGCATCGATCGTGTGCAGTCTCGGCCGTGGCCGATAATCTTGGCCTTTTTATGCCGAGAACGAGACCGAAATCTTGGGCTGATTTTAAGCCGAGAATGACTGTAACCGAGACCGAGACCCAGATCTCGGTCGGACCTTCATAATTATTCATCTGAGTTTAAGAATAGTTTAAATTACGAGTAATTTCGACAACTTACTTTTTACGTTTTTGCTGTTCCAGTAATAAAGTTTTCTGTAAACTTTCAATTCTGATCTTAAGTTATTGCAGCAAAACTATGCTTATCCCGGTCTTCCTTTAAAAGTGTCTGATATTTAATAATCTCCAATTCTTTTTTATTCAAGTTGTCTTTAGTAGAAGATAATGCAGCCTAAAAAATATACGTAACCAAACTATGATAAAATCTAACTCCCCACTCATGCGTAAAGTTGGCGATTTCCGATTCATGCTTACCCTTAGAGCAACAATTTGTTCGTCAAAATGACCCATTTGCTGATTTCTCATTGCGATACCATCACCTGCCCCATTTTCTGCATGACTCGCCCTGATTCTATTATTATTATCCTCCAAATCCTGTAGCTTCCTATTTAATCCTACAACACGAGACTTTTCTTCGTTCAGTTCCCTTTTCAACTCCCCCAATTCAAAATCCTTCTGAATAATCATCATTGATTTTTTCACACAAGTGTGACCTTCCAGCTGTCTGATTTTCGTTTTTAACATAGATGCCGCTTCATTTTCCGTTTCCTTGGGTTCGGGGAAAAATTGTTCAGTCTGGCAATCCTGGTTTTTGAGCAAATGTATTGTTAGAGTGTGGTTTTTAGTGGGGGCCATGGATTCTTGGACTACTACTTGTCTGATTAATTTTGGCACAGTTTTAGATGTTGGATGAGGCTGTTTTACTTCAGAATGATAAACACTTTTGAGAGTGGATAATAATTCTTGTTCAAGTTTGATAATTTGGTGGTTTTGTAGTTCGATTTTACTTCAAAAAAAATTACATACGCGGATTCTTGTAGAGCACAAAATTTACTAAAAAAAAATCAAAAGTTATTTATTTCAACAATACGGTATAATAAAAAAAACCGGCATCAAAGACGTCCGGCGAATGACAATCTATGATAATTTTGGCGACGTCAATCTATAGACACCAATGCGGTAATAAAAAAGATATTGTATTTTATTTAAAAAACTACCCCACCTTTAGTATTAAACTATGTTTGAATTTCTATATGTATAAATATAATGTTATATAATGCTTACATTTGTCTGGATACCATCATCAATAGAATTAGAATGTTTTCCATCTTTTGCAAGAAGATTATTTTCAATGTTTCTTAATTTCATTGAAACTTAAGGAAAACGGTGCTGTTCTTTGTTCAGTGCCAATAATTTTCCCACAAATATTTCTTCTCCAATCAACGGTATATTTCCTACAGAATTGTATATGTTGTAGTTTGATTATTCTTCTTAGATCACTATATAAAATTAATTAAAGAAAATATATTTTTTTTTTTTTTTTTTTTTTTTTTTTTTTTTTTTTTTTTTTTATTTTTTATTGATAAAACAAATTTGCCTAACGAACAAAAAAAAAATGCTTAACGTTTCTGAAAGTTTACCTCTTTCCGTCGTCGGAAGCAAAAAATACAAAGAATAAAGAAAAAACTAATTTAAAATATTTAAATTCAGCTATCTGGAAACACTTCTAGTTTTTTTTAAACAGATACGTCTACAAAAATCTTTCCGAAAACGTTAGCATTTTTTTGTTTGTTAGGCAAATTTGTTTATCTGTAAACCTAACTGCTGGATACTCTTCTTGCATTGGCGATAACATATAGTTTTTTGAGATAACCGCCATTATTAGGTATAGACATTTTAAAAATATAAATATGTTTCGTTCTTAGTAAAATATACATATAAAATTTGTCTTCATGGATTCTGAATCCAGCGACTTATTACAGAAAAACTGCTTTATAAATGTTTTGTCTGAACAAAAAAGCGGGAAGGAATATCAGAATATTGCTCACCTCACTTTTTTCTGTGACATTTTTTCAGATATTTGATGATCTCGGTCTACTTTTTCAATTTGTGAACTGATTTCGACAAATTTGTTTTTCCAAAGATTTAATTCTTCTTCTAGGCGATTAATTTTAATAGACCAATCCCTTTCTGAAGACTTATACCTTCCCAAATCATAATGAAGTCGCTGAATTTGATATTTATCATCGGAAGAAGCCGTTAGATCAATAATCTGATGCTTGAGTTCTAATAATAAAAAAATAAAGAAAAAGAAAGTAAAAAATAAACAAAAAATACAAAGTTACTTAAAATGTCACATCAACATGAGACAACAAGAGAACTTAAATTTAAAGTGAACAGTCATTGGCGTTACGTTGATGAGTTTTTGTTTCAAATAAAACATAAAAAATTTTGATAAATTTAATAGCATAATATATTTAAAATTCTGAATTAACTTAAACGGTAGTCGACAATAACAAATACCTTAAAACTTTTACCTAGTAATTGCTGATGTTTCTGGTTATCCCACTTCTGAATATCACTTTCAAACGTTTCTTTGTCTTCTGTTAAAACTTCTTTTTCTTGTTCTTTCGTCGAATTCTCAAATTCCAGCTTCAGTTCCTGCAAAAATTAATACAACTATATTCATAAAAAATAAGTAAAATCAATCAAGCCAAGGAAGTAGACCTCCTAATTTGCTGGTCTGACTAATTTTACGTTAAGTCAATAAAGACAAGAAAATCCGTGACATTTGTGTCTGTTATTCACGTATACATTGTATTTTTTGTATGTCTTTGTCGAAATCTTCCCTGGCAGGTTGAACAATTTTTATTAAAATTGATAAAATATTTTCTAATAAAAATACATAAGTTGATATAATTATTTACTAACTTGAAAAGTAGAAGTGTAATATACAATCCCTTTTTTTTACCTGGAAACGTTCCAAAATCTCGTTAAAAACTACTTCACTCTGGGATTCCCTGATTTGTGCCTGTAACGCCAAGTTTTTCTGCGCCAATCCTTCAGCTTGTTTAGAAAATTCCACCAATTTTTCTTCGGATTTCCTCAATTGTTCTTTAACCAAATCATACAAATTATTCATATGATCCGCCCGATTTTTTTCTTTGACAGCTTGCATCTCGGCAATGCCTATCTTTTCGGTCAACAAAGATAATTCTTTAGTTTTAATAATGTCTTGAAGTTGGCAGGATAAATTTTGATATCGTTCTACAAAAAAAAATTAATTAGACAAAAAAATAGGGAATATTCATGGAAAGGAGAGATTAGAAAGGAGTCTAGTCTAGTGTTATTTCATATCTATTTATTTTATTATTGGTTTTATTCAAAGTATATAAATATGGGAAGGAATTGTGTCAGGACTTAAAATTACAGAGAGTATATGAATTACATATTCTCTATTTCATTCTCATTCTATTTTTTAAGCGAAACAATGTATTTAATATTGAATTTGACATTCTGTTAGTTTAGCTCTACAGTATGTCCCTGGATTGTCTTTACAAGAGGAAAAGCTTTTTATTATTGACATTTTGAGAAAAAAATCAGTCTTCATGTTCATGTTCTAAAATGGTTAATCCCGTTTATACTTTTCCAAATTTCCATACCGTTTTAGAGAAAATAAAAAAAACATGAAAACATGGTTGAATTTTTTCAAATCCTAAAAGTCAAAACGTGTTTCTATGGTAATATAATTTCGATTTCATTCTTTGATAGATGGTTATTATTAATTTTGACTAACGTCATATTTTTTGCTGTTATTGAGGTATCACATTTTCCGATAACTATTCCTCTAATTCCCTTTCCGTAGCATTGAATTAAATAAATTTTGTGCTTCTTTGACATTTTAAAACAGTAAAAAATATGATGTTAATTAAAATTCTACAGTATGATCGAAAAAAGCATCGCTGACGCCGTTTTTTTTTCGATCATATGGTATTAATAACAATCTATCAAAGAATGAAAACAAAATTGTATTACCATGAAAACGCATTTTGATTTTTAGGCCTTTTTTAGGAAAAAATTCAACTATATTCTCAGGTATTTTTTTATATCCTCTAAAACGGTATGGAAATTTAGAAAAATATGAACACGATTAAACATTTTAGAACACGCAATTTTTATGATGAATGCATTTTCAAAATATCAATAATAAAAAAGTTTTTCCTCTTGTAAAGATAATCCGGGGACATACTGTAGATATTTATGAAGAAATACTACCCTTTAGTTCTATATTTTCTTTTCTCAAATCTTCTTCATTCCTCGTTAAAACTGACAGTTCCAAAGATGTTTCATTCTGTAAATCTTCGACATCCCTCAGAAGTTTTCTGTACTTTACCAAACATTCATCTAAAGATTTTTCAGTCTGTTTAAACAACTTTTGATCAACGAAAGTAAATTTTTCCAAATCTTTTCCTTTCAATTTGATTCTTAAACGAGCAATTTTCTTCAGGAAAACCTCTATTTGCTTGCCACGATTCCGTTCCAAATTTTCGATCTCTGATTTTAAAATGGTTATCTTATCCTCCATCAGAATATTTTCGTTAAGTAAGTTTTTGACTTTTTTTCGTTCTTTTAGCAGTAAATTCTTTATTTCTTCACTATTGATCGAATTTAAATCTAAGTTAATATCTTTTTCTTCATTCTCAGTGTGTTTTTTATTAAGTTCCTCTATAAGTGATTCTTTTTCTTTAAAACATTTTTCGTGGAGCAAAGCAGTACGGTTTTGGATCAAAGAAAATTCTTTTTCTATACTATTTTCTATGTTTTCTTCGTCTTCATAGAGATTCTAAAATAACATAAAACACTATTAAGTATTATTGCTATTAGTTATTTTTACTATTAGTCCAACCTAAATCAATTTCAAATAAAAAAATAATGGTATCTATACTAATATATAATATCCTTAAGTGACTGACATACTGATTAATCACGATCCTGCTCAAACCACTCAACGTAAGAAGCTCAATTTTGGCATACAGGTTGTTTCTAGGGTGTAGAGGTTCGATAAGAAAAGATTTTTCAAAATTCCAGTTCCAAGGGGGTGAAACCACCCCTCAAATATTACAATATTTTTTATTTAAAAAACAGTCATGTTTCCGAAAAAACGCTTAAATACGTATATTTTATTTTGTTTGTTTTACATATTTTAAGATTTTTTAAAAATGTATACAGGGTGTTTCGAAAAATCTCGTCATTGATTAATCACGATCCTGCTTAAAGCGCTTGACGTAAAAAGCTAATTTTTTTAAAACAGATTGACTTTAGGATGTAGAGGTTCGATAAGAAGGGATTTTTCGAAACTCGAATTATAAGGGGGTGAAACTATCCCTCAAATATTAAAATATTTTTATTTAAAGCCGGTGAGTTTTTCGAAAAAACTCTTAAACACGTATATTTTATTTTGTTGTTGTACATATTTTAAGATTTTTTTATAAATTTATACAGGGTGTTTCATAGAATATGACCATTGAGTAATCACGATTCTGCTTAAACTGCTTGACGTTTAAAGCCGATTTTTGGCAAACGGATTGACTGTGGGGTGTAGAGGTTCGATAAGGAGGTATTTCTCGAATCTCAAATTCCAAGAGGGTGAAAACGCCCTTCAAATATAACAATATTTGTTATTTAAAAAACGGTTAGTCTTTCGGAAAAACGCTTGGACAAGCATAATTTGTTTGGTTTTTTTACATATTTTTAATTTTTTTAAAAAATCATACAGGGTGTTCCAAAAATTTGAGTAATTTCTTAACCACGATTCTGCTTAAACTGCTTGACGTAAAAAGCTTATTTTTGGCAAACGGATTTTTCAAAAGTCAAATTCCAATAAGATGAAACTACCCCTCAAATATTACTAAGTTATATAATAATATCGCCATATTGTTTTTTCTCATGCTGACATAAATGTGAGAAAATTTTATCCAGTTTGTATGTTAATGGAAATTCTTGCTTTGCTTTATCATCACCATCACAAATGATTAATTCGCCGCGAACGAAGTTGCTGGTACACGCTAGTTTAAGATATAATTACAAAAAACGTAATTTTAAAAATTTTGACATCCTGTAACTCTAAAACTATGCATTTCCATACCCATGTTTTAGGAACATTTTTTTTATATTTTTTGATGAGGAATCAATGAGTACTTATTTAAAACTTTCGCAAGTTAATGATATTAAAATTTTTTAAAGATTCCTATTAGCCTTGGATCAAGACAAATTAATAAAATTGCTTTTATCTTATCAAGGAGGCCGAAATCGACAAAATATCAAGAGACAACTTTTAATCGGCATTAAATTTCTTACATGATTTCGCTAACAAGAGAAAAAAAGTCACTGGCGTACATGCTTTTTTTAAAAAAAATATATCAGTGACAACCCTGGTGAATATGTCGACACTTTTTTATCTTTAAAATATCCCGCATTTATAGTAACTTTTACCCTCAAAATTTCATTCGAAACGCTAAAAGTACTTGTAATAAATTTATAATAAATCGAAAAAACATCAAGTGTTTAACTCCCTTTAGCTACGAAACGAAGCAGAATCGGACTTATGTTGATATGAAAAATAAATGTTATTTTTACGTAAGGAATCTCTCCACGAGAGATGGCACATGTTTTTTGAAACACCCTGTATAAGAATTATTATTTCGAAAGCCGACGTTACACCATTTTTTTAACCACAGATTACTTTAATATCAGATATAGTAAAACCCGAAATAAAATGTTATTTCTAAACTTACAATGACGTCATGTAGGCTTGTACTTACCGTAATTATTTTCAAAATGCTAATTTTAATATCCTGAATATTGTCGTAATTTGCTTTCAACAAAGGACTAATTTTCAAAAGTTTTTCGTCTGTTTTATTAATTCTATTATCCAACTCATTGACATCTTCATTCTGAATTGTTTGTTGGATGCTTTCTTTTTCACTAAGCTTAAGATTCTCCAACTCAGATCTACAAAAGATTAAAAAAATCTTGAGTATTTCGTCACTGAAACAGATATATAAAAATAAGTAAGTTATTTATTGGTTGTAAAATGTCACTGCGTGGATTCCTATGGAAACCTATGTAATTTGGAATTACGTATACATGAAAAATCTACAAACTTTTTTTAACCATTTACACTAAATCAAACACAGAATACTTATAGTGTGCCAGCGAGAAAATATTACTTCTGTATTAAAGTGACACACAACTGTCACTGTCACAAATTCTTTCACTGGACAGGCTATATATAATCAATAAGTACCTGACATCACGT